TATTATTTTGTTGTTTATCTCCCCGGGTACATTCAAAATTTACTGCATTCATTTACAAGGATTTCGTTTTTGCTGTGTTTATGTAAGTATTTTTGAATAAGGTGACGTCATTTTTAACGGTCACTCTGTAATAGAACGGGAGTATCCGACATTTAAAAAAGGCACCTTTCCCCATATAAAAAGAAAATTAAATTCAGTTTGACCGTTATCAAGAATGTCACCTTGAGTAACTTAAAATTGTTTCAGGCAAACAAAAGAACGCCGGAAATAAACAGATTGGAATTGGACAAACAGAACTTATCGATATAATTCAACCAAATATATTTCAAGGGATTCTAGCGGCCGAAATACAACTTATGTCAATATATAAAAAATTACTGACGAAATATTCTGAGGAGTACGAAAATGCTGTTACTTTCATTATGAACCTCGCCATGAACGTTTATATATATATATATATATATATATATATATATATATATATATATATATATATGGGGGCTGTGGTGCACACAAAGACACACACATATAAATATATATATATATATATATGTGTGAGTATGTGTTGTATATGTATGATTATGTGCGTGTGCATATATATATATATATATATATATGTGTGTGTGTGTGTGTATTTATAAGCAGATACGCACTTATGTATGCATATATATAATATGCATGCACATAAAACTTTCGCTCACACACACACACACACTCTTTTTGACGCATACACACACATATATATTTTACATATATATATATATATATATATATATATATATCTTATCTATATATATATATTATCACTCTCTTTCTCTCTCTATCTCTCGATCTGTCTATATATATATATATATATATATATATATATATATATAAAATAAAAATATACATGCATGCACATATGCTTGCAAGTACATATATATATATATATATATATATATATATATATAGATATATGTGTGTGTGTGTGTATTTGTGTGTGTGTATGTCTATATAAATATATATATGTGTGTGTTTGTGCGTGTGTGTGTATGGATGGATGAGTATGATAAAAATATACATACACTCAAATATACTTGCACGTACATATAAATATATTTCTTCTTCAGGTGTTATAAAGACAGTCAGAATATAATCCGCACCTGACGTTTACAAGAACTACATGAAATTCCGAGTCGTGCTGTCGACGTTGGATATTACATATATTTACTAATAAAAAAAAATATATATATATATATATATATATATATATATATATTATATATATATATATATATATATATGTGTGTGTGTGTGTGCGTGTCTGTGTCTGTGCGTGTGTGTGTGTTGTATATAATGTGTGTATGTTTATTTATTGAGATTAATCTGACAGAAGGCCAGCTGTGGGTGACAGATGAAAAACAACTGCAGCAGAAGTAATCCTTCTTCTACTTTTAATTTAAAAACCTGACGGCGAGATAGATCAGCATAAATTGAAATAGTAATACTATGTATGGCAACATTTCCGAGCAGAATAGCACCTGTCTGCGTTGAAAATCAGTATTCCGAGTGAGGGGTTCATTTTGGGGTTCGATCATTCACCATGGCCGTGAGTAAGAAATATGTATATGACAAAGATATAGTTTAATGTATGTTATATTTATGCTTAATATAATTCAATGTCAGGGAAAAAGGTTACCTAAAGACAGGGCTGGAGATTTGTTTCAGTGATGAAACAGACTGTCATCTATCTGTTGACATTAGTGTAAACTCTTGATCATTTTAAAGATGGGTCGCTGTATGTGACCTTAAGGTCTATACTAAGTGTTTCTTTCATCGCCCCATTTGCTTCTGGAAAACTTTTTCGACTTCTTGCTTCCCAATCAACTTTTATTTTCAAAAATTTAAGCCTAATGTCAACTTCTTATTTCATATTCTTTTATTATTTTCTCTTCGTAATAGTGATTTTTTTTCTCATATTCTCTAACATTCAGTAAAACCTATATTAATTTGCTTGGGGCCTAAATAATTAAAAACAATGGCTTGTTCGAACTGGAAAATATTTAAAAAGCTGTTTTAACATATATACAGTGTAACCCGGATATAAGAGAGATTTTCTCTGGTCCCAAATTACAGCCTAAACCAAAATAGACCAAATACAGATATAAGAGAAACCCGGATATAAGAGAATTCTTCTCCGGTCCCGACAACTCTCTTATATCCGGGTTACACTATATATATATATATATATATATATATATATATATATATATATATATATATATATATATATATATTTATGTGGGTATTTATTGAGATTGCTTAATATCAGTGATAGAGCTAACATATTCAGTTGGATGGATATAAGATTGTGCCCCTGTGATTCACGCATTTGTGATCAGCAAACAGATATATATATCCATGTGTTCGAGCACACACGCATGGATATATAGCTGCGTCGAATCTCGTATTGTTTATATGGGTGTGTTTGAGTGAACTATAATGTGTACACCTGTATGTA